GAATCATATTTCTACCCCCCTCCCCCCACCCCCCCCATAGCGCCCATACCCTAATTCCTCGATCGGAACTGAAATAAGGAAATTGGAATCTGGGTCTCCAACTCAAGCATATCTTCAGATTTATTATTATTTTGCTTTTTTTCTTTTTTTTTGTTATTGTTTACGAGTTAACATCGGTCGTTCTTTTCCCGTCTACTATTAATCTATCTATCGATCGATCTCTCTATTTATCTATCTCTTTATGTATGTATAAAGCATTGTGTCCTAGACAAAAAAAAAAGGAAATGAATGTTAATGCTCTCTCTCTCTCTCTCTCTCTCTCTCTCTCTCTCTCTCTCTCTCTCTCTCTCTCTCTCTCTCTCTCTCTCTCTCTCTCTCTCTCTCTCTCTCTCTCTCTCTCTCTCTCTCTCTCCCTCTACCTCTACCTCTCCCTCCCTTTCTCTTTTCACACCAAATTTAAAAAAGCGGAAAAGAGAGAGAACCGCATGAATGCAAATCCGGCGCGCGGCGACCGCAATCACTCGCCGCTCACTCACGCCGGCGAAGACCTAATCCAGGAGCGTTCGGCAAAACAGCCCGGATTCACCGAGGGAGACAAGACGCCTCGTTAACGCGTTCTTGTTGCTGCCGCGGATTCACGACCAGTTCCCCCCTCCCCCCCCCCACTTCTTCTGCCTCGTTTGTGCGTTAGTCAATTTCTTTTATTCTCATTATTTTCAATACATTTCTTCTTCTTTTCGTTCTTCTCTCCATGGGTACCGGGCATATATTTTCTTTTTTTCACAAGCCAAAGTGACGGGCGGAAAAGTCATTTATCAACAGGGCATGACACACTCAACAGCGAATTTTCTATTTTCTTATCATCATTCTTTTATCATTACCAATACCACCACCACTACTACTGATGATGATAATTGATAATTGATGATGATGATGATGATGATGATGATGATGATGATGATGATGATGACGATAATAATGATGATGATAATAATGATGATGATATTAATAATTATAATAATAATAATAATAATAATAATAATAATAATAATAATAATGATAAATATTATCACGAACAACACTTGTACTCTCAGCCCCACGCAAGACCACACCAAGACATCTTTGATGATGTCATCGCCATACACAAACGCATCTAATTACACCGCGGATTCAAATCTCAGAATTTACTGTCATAATCCTTTGAGCATAAACATCACAAAACAAGTCCCCCCCCCCCGCCCCCGCTCCCTTTATACACACACACACACACACACACACACACACACACACACACACACACACACACACACACACACACACACACACACATCCCCTTCCCTCTCCTTCCCTTCCCTCCCTCCCCCTCCCTCCCTTGACTCCCTCCTTCTTCCCTCCTTTCCCCCTCCCCCTCCCTTCCCTTCACTCCCTCCCCCTCCCTTCCCTTCACTCCCTCCCCCTTCCCCCGCCCCCACTCGCCACGGCCCGAGTGCGTATAGACGTGCCTCGGGGGAATTCCTCCCACTCGTCCCTTCTGCGAAATTTACGTCCCTGCCTCAGAGCCTCGCGAGAAAGCCTTATCATTAAATCACTCGCTCTGCCGTTGGCCCCTTATTTTTTCCTAATCCCTCGTCGTATGCAAAGAGAGAGAGAGAGAGAGAAAGAAAAAAATATAATCCTAAGCGTGGATTTAAGACACAGCGATAAAGATAACAGACAATATCATCAACACCTTCACTAAAATATTAAGAAGACGAAATCGACAGAGGACCAGCTGACAGCCCGACCGCCACGCTAACACTTCCAGCATCGAAAACAACCCAAAACAGAACAGCGGCACCAAACACCCAATCAAACAAATCACACGAACTCAAACCGCGTCGAGAAGGACGACCGACAAGCTCCTCCTTCCTGCCGATCCCGCCCGACGGTGCCCTTTCGTCTGGCTCCCCTTCCTCGCCTCTCCTTCCCCTCTCTTGCCCTCCGAGGGGGACCTCCGAGGGGGTCGACCTCCTCACCTGCGGGACCTCCTCGCGCGGGGGCATGAGGAGGCCGAGGCGGAATTTATGGGGTCATGCAAGGAGGAGGAAGGAGCTAGGAGGTAAAAGTTAAGGAGGCTAGAACGGGATGAGGGATGGAGATGAGGAAGTTGGAGGAGAAGGAGGAGGAGGAGGAGGAGGAGGAGGAGGAGGAGGAGGAGGAGAAAGAGAAGGAAGGAAGGAAGGAAGCAAATATGGAGAAAGAGAAAGAGGAGATAGGTGGATATAGCAGGGAAGAGGACGTGGCGAACGGACACAAACGAAGAACAGGCAACAGTGACTACAAATCCAAAAGAGAGAGAAATCAGCCCAGCACGTCAGGAAGCCACGAAGGAGTCCCAGGTGCGGCAAGGACCCCGACGACGACGACGACGACTGGACTCTCCGGCGACCCGTCACTCACGCGCTCTTTCAAAAGGCGAAATCCCCGCGGCGTGAGAACCGAGCCCGGAAGGTCGAGTGTT